CCCTCTCTCTCTCTCTCTCTCTCTCTCTCTCTCTCTCTCTCTCTCTCTCTCTCTCTCTCTCTCTCAGTCGTGAGTGTTCGCATCAGATGAAGCGTTCTTTTCGTCAAACATATGGAGTTCTGAGTCATCATGCGTGCTGCTTAGCTGCTAGCGACTCTATTCTAAACAAATGAAGACCGGCTGCCGATTCTTTTTTTTTTTTTTTTTTTTCTAAGGCTAGTTCTTTAAGCCCAACGAATTCAATTACCTGTCAAATCTGGACAGGACGGCCTTTCAGGCCTTTTTTATTGTCATTATAGTATTATGGGGAACCCCGTAGCAGCCACATCCGTGCTCAAGCCTCCAACGAGGGAACATGCGGGAGCTGCACCCACCAGCAGGTGTGATACCTGCTACAGCAGGTGGGCGATACCGGCCAGGGGGTCAGCTGGTAGCATCAGGACCGAGCTTCTATTTATCTGTGGCCGCCCTTTCGATTAATCGGCGGCCGCCCTTTCGATTTATCGGCGGCCGCACGTCCTCTTCCGTTTCAGGACAGCAAGTTTCCCGAAGCGCTTCTGAAAAATAGGTGGGAAAGCAAAGAAAGAGAAGTGAAGGCAAATTTGGTGACACGTCAGCCTTTTGTAAGAGTGAATAACTCAGAGTATCCTTTGACTGAGAGCCCTTCTACAACCTGCTCAGTCAATCCGCTGGAATCCATAGTAATCAATGCTGGCAGGTTTTTTTCCAGTCTTTTTCCAGTTTCGTTTGCTTTCAGATGCTTTCGAATGTTTCTGTATTATTTTTGCATAAGGGACGCTGGACCCATTTTCCAGCAGGTGATGCTCCCCACCAGTAGATGGAGCCTTTCCCCAGGTGCTAGCGGTGGCTGCTCTTATCAGTACCGCTAGCACTGAAGGGGCTGTTTTTTGTAAAAAAAAAAGAGTATCCCTTTTTTTTTTTTTTTTTTTTTTTAAGCCCAGCGTGTTGTAGTCTACTTGTAGAGGCCAAGTACTAGCTACATGGTGATCGCTGGCAGCGGCAGCCGGTGGTTGTCCTAACAGGATAGGCCACCTTCCCTACCCTTCCCCACATTGATACTCCCAGGACGATCACCCTACCAATATGGAGGGCAACTTGGACCAGATGGCAGTGACAAGCACCAAGGCTGGGCAGCCCCCCAGCCCTAGTGGAAGCGG